ATTCAAAGATTTATCGCATCCTTGCGGGGTCACGTTGGTCCAGTTTATCAAGTATGTTGGTCCTCGGATAGTCGCATGCTGATAAGTGCAAGCAAAGATAGCACTTTGAAAATCTGGGACCTCAAGACTAAGAAAATAAAAATGGATTTACCTGGACACTTGGACGAGGTTGAACGAGCTTTTGAATGATAAGGAATTCAATCCATTTATTTTTATGTTGGATGTTTTAACCTGAGTATATATCTTGTAGGTGTTCAGTGTGGATTGGAGTCCGAGTGGTGAGAAAGTTTCCAGTGGCGGCAAGGATCGTCAGCTGAAAATGCAAGTATAGTTTTGTTTATTAAGCTTCATTTGTCATTTCTCTAACTATTTGTCTCAAATTAGATGGCGAAACTGAAGACTTTTTTCGAAATATTTGCTAAAAATTCAATAGATAATGTTATGACATTTAAAAAACCCACGCGTAATAATTATACAATGTATTATTAATAGGAAGAAAGCAAATAAGGACATGGATTCGTTACAAGTGTAATTTCAAGAACTTGTTTGCCTGGACAAAAGTATTTTTGTTTTAATGGTAGAGTATATTACATGAAACTGACAGTAAATATTAAATTAAAAAAAAAAAATTTTTTTATTAAGTAAATGAATTTTTTATTCTAAGTAAAGTCATAAAGTGGATTTTTCTGATTCTAATTGTAGTAGAACCATCAAAATTGATTAAAAACTTACTAAAATATAAAGATTTTTTTTTTTTAAAACATAAAAATTTTATCAATTAAATTTAGTTATTTTTTTTTTAATTTATAATCATTTTTTTTTTTTTTTTTTTTTTTAAACCTGTGATCAGGCCAGTACTATGTGTTTATTAATCATATGAAAACTGATAAAGATACATAGGGCAATTGCATCATGGCTAAACTAAAAGCTTGTACTGATATACTCATCAATGGCTTTCAATTCTCAAAAGAGCTTCAGTCTCTAAGTGCAACCTTGGGAACAATATTTCACTCTGGACTAAGTTTTGGGTAAAGACCTTCCTAACTTACCCATCATTGTTAGCAGGTTGTTACTGCTTATTATTCTCCAAAGAACTAAATTCAAAAAACTACAAAAGAGGAAAGGAAAAATAAAAGGAAAGGGGAATATCTAAAAATGTGCAAACACACTTACATAAAAATGAAAAGAAAAAAAGAAAAAATAAAATACTTCATGTCCTCCAAAGAACCTCAACTAAAAAACTTCTTCTTATTAGAAGTCAATCCTTCTAGGATATCCTTCTTCTTCCTAACCATCTGAGGAACTTATTCGTCCATACTCTTGATTATTTTCTTGTAATCATCTAAGGTACTTGTCACCTACTTGGATCCAGTGTCTTACTCAACACTTCTTTTCTTTCGATCTTGATTTTGTATTCACCTGTGCAGAAGAAGACAGCTAACGGTGAATCCCAGGTTTTTATGTAACTTTTCAGTCTTGTTGGGTAACTTTCAATATCTTCCAGCAGTCATATCTAGTTAAAGGAATTTTACTGGTGTTCATCTTGATTGCGATATAATTATACAATGTCTGGGGAAATGCATTCTCAATTCTAGATAAGGGCAGTGTTTTACATTCTTCTGCTTTTCGGTCTTACAACCTAACTGGGATAAGAAAATAATATTCTTCGTATACTTTGCTTAACCAGGATAATAAGAAGTTGAAGGTCTCGGCTTGAACAAATAACCACCTTTTCATTATCTAGGGAATTTAGTGCCCATCCTAATGGCCTCATGATTTCTTTGCTTCAGTTAAACTTCATTTGGAAGAATAGAGAAGTTCATATCCTTGATTTCTCTTTCAATCACCAATGATATCATCGGAACATGTGAGGTGATCAATAGAAGCTTGTTTATATTCAGCTACTGACATGTTTCATATTAACCAATCAGATGCCAGGTTATGTTATGCTACTAGAAATTCAGGGTCAAACTGAGATAAGCAAAATCCTTTAAGAAAACCGTGAAAAACAGTAGACACTTTAAGAGGATACAAGACAGTATATGAGAAGGTAAGTAATAAGTCTTCTCTTGATAACAAAACCTCTATTTCTTGTTGCTTCTAGCTCTATAAGGTGACATTT